GGGGGGGGGGGTTGTTTCTTGTATTGGTGCATTTTCTTGTTAGATAAGACTACACACATGTAATGCTTCAAGCTTAAGAGCTGCCTTTCCAAAAGCTTATATAGACACTGTTAAAATCATAAAAGGCCTAGGCATCCTGAAATTAAAATTCAGATAGAGACACCTAGCTACATGGGAGCTGTCTTCCACATAACATTTGTTACCTGTGTTCTTGCCAAATATAATCCTTCATACAATGTCTCTTATTTAAAAGTATGTCATAAAGCAGGGGTTGTGCATGATTTTGCTGTAAGAGATGTAGCCTTTACATTTCTTGACTTGGAGTTTAACTTTAAATAACGTAATATGAACGTCATTTATTACATTTTGATTAAGAAACAGCCTGTGAGTTAATAGTGGCTTGTCCAGACGACTCTCTGGTGAGATCATGTGGTTCTAAAGAGACGAACAATGCAGCAGCATTCATTCCAAGGCTAGCTGGTTTATGGTCTGGAACACAAGTCTAAAGGAAATAACCTTAAACTTCACTGTCTGAGATATGCCTCAAGTGTCAAGGGAATCAGCCGTTACCCAGCAGCAGTAATTCTCCTACACAAAGGGCTTCCCACTGGAGCCACATACACACTTAGTTTCTTCTTTATATCTTATTATTAATAATACAGTTCTCATAGTGCCCAGGAGGCCAACTGCTGGGCTTGGCACTGTACAACCACAGAGTAGCAGACAGTCCCTGTATTACATTTATTACTATTAAAAGTACTGCCATGTCATCGATGCTAAACCAACTTTGTTTGCATTGTAAAAAATAGATCTGTGAATAAAACCACTCAGTTTTCCTAGTTGCTGCAATGTCACCGTGTTTTTCTTTCCCTGGCCCCTTGCTAGAAGCAATAGTTTAGTTTTGTATCTTGTACAAAATTCATGTGGAATACAAAAAAGCACAAGCCTGCAAAAAAGGACACCTGTCTGCCAAGATGTTCTTCAAAGGTCATTTTAGCCTAGGGATGGCTAGAGCTAGAGCTAGAACTGCTGGTGAAAGGGTGCAATCTGTCGAATTTTAAACTACCCTATAGACTCCTACAGGAAGAATGTATGAAAATCTACCAAGAGGCTCTCTCAAAATTACTCTAAAGGTCTACAGACTGTGTTGTCATTCTGTAGAACTCAACCAGCTTGTTTCCTACCTGATTCTACAGGACTTGACCATAAGGGAAGGCATCTTCAAACATATAGGTCCAAATGGCTCTGAATATCTCCACCAGGTTCCTTATCCCTCTAGGTCCTTGAGCTGGATGCAGACTCTGCCTTGAAGCATGTACAAGCCTTCAATCCTTGTGGTGATGAAGCCAAGATGTTTCTGCAGCTGGTGCTGTCTGTTTGCTGTGTCTGCATCTGGCGTAGGCGACTGGTAGGGGGTGCACGGGGGTGCATGTTTCCCCCCGACGGCCGACACTGATGCTGTTGGCAGGGCTTGTGTCCCACCTAACAGGGCCGTTGGCATTGGCGACTTTTGCGAGTGCCCCCCGGATTCAGGAGGCGCCAGTCACTCATGGCATCTAGTCTGTTGGTTTTGCATTAGTAGCATGGTAGTTGGACAAGCCATCACCTCAGGCAATATTCTCACAAAGTTGCACAGATCTGCAGGGACAAAGAGATGGGAATGAATTGCTTATCATTCATCTCTCCAGCCATGGCCACTGTGCTAACTCAGCTGCATCTCAGATAGGAATTTCCAGCCTTGACATGATCACCACTGTGTCAGCTTAAACACACTAGGCTAATGAGTCAGTTCTCATCCTCCATGACCTATCTATACTTTATCATTTCAGCAAAGAAGCTCTGACCCTATTCTGGCAACTTTCTGCCTATGGAAGATAGAGACCAGACTCAGGGACATTGAGAACAGAAAGATGAATAAGCCAGAGTCCTACTAGAACATAGGATTGGAAAGAAGTCCCTTGGCCAGCAAGTCCAATCCCCTTTTTTGTAGGTGCTATGCTGTTCAATCTCTTCCAGAAAATGATCCAGATGAAGTCTGAAACCAATTAAGAGATATGAGGGCAAGAAAACCTAAGGAAAGGCTGTTCCAGGATCATGCCATTGCTCCGATAATTAAACATGGATTTTTGGTACCCCTTAAGGCCCTCTACCATGGTCCATTTGGGGAACATGAAAATGTTGCATTTCAACATTTCTGATTTTTTTTTTGGCATTCCCCTTATGTGGATAATTTCAATTTTTTGTCCCTTCCCAGGACAAAACCAATATTAAAAGAACAGGTTTCCTGTGAGCTGGAAATTCCCAATTTTGTATAAATCCACTAGCTCTCCTACCCAAACCCTCTACCTCACAAGAATAATTTCCATCTCTCCTCTCTCACCAACCCCTTCCCCAAACTTCAAGGCAGGGCTGCAGGTTGCAAGTCAGGGAGAGAGGAAATTTAGCTGCCTACTAGAAACAACTGTGGTTTACTTAGCACTGAGTAAAACAGAAGGTAGAACTGTCCTCAGAAAACAGACAAAAGAGTTAGGTGAAGGCACCTACAATTTCAAAGAGTGCGGGTGACAAGCAAGATGGATTAGAAGAGCCCAGGCTGTGACCATTGTCCAGTCCCTGTTCAAAACTTGCCAAGAATTTAGCAAGATTCAAAGAGGGACCAGACATTTCCCTGGCTACTGAGAATAGCCAAGAGTTGTCTCCATCAGTGATAAACTGTTTGCAAAGGGCACTAAACTACGTGCTTCAGGGTTCTTCAATTCCTTCTGATGTTCTTGTCTCTGAGAGACAGTCCTATTCATTAAACACTGATGGTGGGCCTAGGCCCCCAGGAACTACAAGGTCCCTTCAGTGCCTAGGGAGCCATTAAATTGACAACAACTAATCTCATGGGACAAATCAGGATAAAACAGGAAGAGGAGTGCAGGTCATAGCTTAATAATTATGGTTTCAAGGGAGGACACTGAACAGAGAACTTTAGCTAGCGACCACTGCCCTTTGAACAAACATATCTAAGCAGCCTGTGGCACAATGCCCAGTGAAACTCTATCCAGAGACGTGCTCAGACAAGGGAAAGGAAGACAGCCATGCAGCTGTGTAGGTTTCGTCTGGCCAACTTCTCCTTCCTGGTCTGGTAGGTAGACAGCCTTGCCAGGGCCAGGAAGAGGGTGACAGGAAGTGGACCAGATTGATGTCCTGCAGCCTGCTGAAGTAGTACGCTGGGGTGTGCTGAAGGGGTTGACAAGGCAGGAATCTCACGACAAACTCCAG